GGAAGGCAGGATCAGCGAAAACTTTGCTTTTTGCCTAAACAAACTCGGAGAAGACCAGGAAACACAAGATCAGCAAAAATAAGACGGCTGGAACAAGGTAATAAACTTAATTTTAGGAAAAGAAATCGCAAGGGGACCAGAAAGGAACAATCAGAAGCCAAGAGGAGACGTCTTCAGTGAGCCCAATCAAAACAAGTAGAACCACAAAATGTGTTGGTTGGCACACAAGAGACTAGGAAATAGAAAGTGAAAGACACTGTATTATGGATAGAAACAGGATAGACGCGGTGGAGACTCTAGCTAGTTGACTGACAATAGACGTGATCCATGAAGCATGTCTATTTTAGTCAACTAGCTATAGCCTCCACCGTATCTATCCTGTTTCCATGCGTAATGCCAAGTCTTTGATTTACTATGCACTAGTCTCATGTGGGCACACCCACAATGTTGTGGTTCAACATTGAACCTAATCAAAGCAAGCAGTACCACAACATTTGCGTGTGGCACACAAGAGAATAGGGCATAGGAACACATAGACTTGATATTAGGGATAGAAACAGGACAGACGCGGCGGAGACTGGAGCTAGTTGGCCAACAGTAGGCCTGTTTTACCATAGCAGTGGTCCATAAGGCAAAGGCTTGCCCATCATAATTGCTCAAGGGTTTAGCTTCAAGTTGGTCTCCCAGAGGGAGAGTGTGCGAAATACCGCCTCGAGTAGCACTGATGGGGTGGCAGGGGTCGAGTAATATACTTGAACCAGGGAGATAACAGACCGATTCTACGGGGCAAGAGGGAGACTCGGATAAGACCTATGAAAGGAGGACTGCGTAACATGGCAGACTATGATTAATATTCATAGCACAAGGGTAAAAGGAGGGTTAGAACGCCAGCGTTGCGTGTGGAGGGTTTTCATGAATGCCACACTACATCTAAAAGAGCACGGTAAAAATTGTAATGGCGAAGTTGTGATAGGAGGATATATGAAATGTGAATAGGCCAGGGCAGAAGGGCAGATATCACAACTGTTCGGCACATGTTTGGTCAAAGGATCGGCTTCACTTGTCGCTGTGACGAGTTGTTGTGTGGTGCTAAGAATGGCGAGACTCACTGACGATGCCGGCGAAACGTCTGGGAATGTACCACGTCAACGGTCCTATTTTGGAAATGATCATGCATACAATGGACTCCGGACTAGGTGTGTTCTGCTAAGTCAAGGTCAAACAACCATTGTACAACGAAAGGAGACTGCGACCACACAAAAGTCCACACCATCTTCATATTCACCTCTTCAGACAGACTATTATTCCAATAGAATGCAAGCCATATTATTCTGCTTTTATATTTTTACCCGGAGTAACTATAAATCTATTCCACACAAGATTCCTATGAGTTCATACTGAAGACCAGCAATAAAGTTAATGAGCTGAGCATCGTAATAAATCTAAGAAAAGAGGATAGAGTCTAAGGGCAATATTATTTTGATACTGTAAGACTTAAAAATAAATATTTTATAGAAACGCGATTTCTTATTTGAAATTAGTCTTGAATTTTGTCATCCAGAACAGGAGGGTACATTCGATTAGGTTAGAGATTCATCACTAACTCTAGTTACCTTTTTTAGGTTATTCATCTTAAGCCGCAAAGAGGTTGTATCTAGGCAACATGGCTGAAACAATAAAAAGAATCTGGGTCTTTTAAAGGTGCTACTAAATAGCATGACTATTAGTAGTTGCTGCAAAGCAATGAATATAAATAATCTAAGCGTAATGATGTACTGCATGGCTAAGGCGATATGGAAATCAGTGCTAAAGAATGCATTTCTACTACATCGAATTTATTTTCATTGAATGAGTGATTATGAGTGAATCGCCTAAATCAGAGATGAAGTAATCTTTTCTTCATCCATCCAAAGTGTGCTACTTCAAATCAAACCAGCACGAGTATAAAAGAATATGAGCTGAAAAAATTAAGAGTAGAACAAACTTTGCTCCCATGCAAGAGACGATGTCGGTTTCTGTCTCGGGCAATATCCTTCACCCAGTCGATGGTTTCAAAGTCCTCGTACTGTCCTTCATGGCCTCGAGAGACAATTATTGGCAAGCCAGGAGATATGGATGCAGAAGCCCCCAAACTGGCATTTAAAGCTGTTGATTTAACAGAAGATTGGTGGCCCGGCATGGAGAATTCCGATAGGACATGACGGCCAGAAGGATTAGAGGCTGAACAAAGAAGAAGATCGATTGTGAATTAGGGGAAGCAACGATATAAACAATTAGGCTAGAATTGATTTCGTAAAAAATCATGGCTAATCCATGAAGCATGTAGTCAGTCTAAGGAGAAATGTATACGGGACTTTGAACATGTATACTCTTCTAAAAACAAGATAATGATGGATGAAACAGACTGATCACCGCAGTGCTGTGGGTTAGGTTAAGCCTCGACTATAAGTCAGCAAAAAAGCTTGTCGGCGATAGTAAAAACAACGATTTAGGAGCTGTGAGTTATGAAGTTTGTAACTGGGGGTGCACTAGGCACTAGGCACTAGACAGAATTGAGGATTGCAGCTTGTTTGTACACAAATATCATACAATACATACAATTAAAACCATAAATAACTGCTAACAGAATAATAACAAATTGCAGGACTCACCAACTGATTGTAGCAAAAAGGGTGGGAGAATCAAAGTTGCAACCAAGAGAAAAAGAGATCGGACTAAAAGTTAGTACTAAAAACAGTTGGTTTTCGATGAACCCACTAACATAACATTGGAGTCAGGGCAAACATTCCGTATAAAGGTTGTTGATATGCGATCGTTTGGCCCTAATACTGATTTCAGATTGACGCAGTCTACGAGATATCCTCCCTATTTCGAGTGAAAATGGGCTGAGCTTTCGTCCAAAATATGAAAGAAATCGTCAGAGTTGTAAATAATTATTACAAAGCAAGTGTTACTAAACAGCACAACTATCAGTATTTACTGTAAAACCAAAGCATCGTGATTGCTTATAGGACTTAGGCAAGATGGAAGCTACCATCCCGTCTTGATGATAATGCATTTCTCCCAACTCGTATTTATTTTCAAAAAGATAATCATCAAGTGAGTGACTATGAATAAATCGCCTAAATCAGCGATGAAGTAATATTAAGCAAAAACTGGGTTTCGAAGAATTCCATAGTGATAGATTGTGACACGACTTTCCATTTCTAAGGAACTGTTGGTTGGAAGGAATTCGTGATGTGGTCTCACCTCAAAACATAAACAGGACTGCCGCGTACGGAAGATTGCGAAGCATTCAACGGCCCACCATCCTGAGACTCCGATGAACCTGTGTTAAGCTTTCGACTGCATCGCCATGACAAACATTATCAGAGCAAGAGTTCATACCTAACGAGGCCCAAAATATACTAAACCAAGAGAAAAGGTTGCTGGCTGCAACCCTAGTCACTTTTGTGTACACCTCACCTCACGACCCTAATGAAGCATCCCATGATTCGTTTGGCTACTTCAACCTTACTCTACATGCTTGCAGATGAGTTAAACTCGTGAGCTTCAAGAGACACTTCTGGATCCGCAGTTATTAGTTCGTTATATGGACGATTAGTTCGCTGTTTTGACAACACGGCAAGAATAGCTTGGGTGAATTCCTTTAGCTAATAAAAGAATAGATGCCAGCACTAAGTTTACCATGGAGTTATATTAGGAAGCTTAATTGTCTTTTTTGGGTGTATTAATGAGCAACCAAGGTAATAAATTAGGCGAAGACGTGCACAAACGCGATTTGCCATGCATAAAGAGTGAAAATATGAGTTCT